AAAAAAACAAATAATATGTAATTTTTTTTTTTAAAGAAAATTTATTTCTGAAAACCGAGATTCAAAAAGAATTGTTTGCTATAATTTCTTTGCCTAAGATAATTAAGGACTTTTCATTGTCTTATATTATTTTTTATCCGGCCATGTAATAAACAAAATTTCTCCTAAGCGTTTATATGATAATTTTTTTTACCTTTTTTTCCTTCCTGCATTGTTTTGCAAACATTGCGACTGAATCACCATTATTGTGACCCAACACCCCCCTTTTATTTTTTTGTTTTTAAATGTAGGATTGTAGTGATTTATTTTTAAGGGTTAAATGTTCTTAGGCTCGTGAAGTTTGTATTTATTGCTTTCAGATTAAACATGAACAAAAGTTTGAAACTACATATATATATATATTTTTTTTACAATGTAATAAATTTTTTTTTGTTTTTGGGACTGTTTTGCAGGTGAAAATAAGAAAATAAGTCACCGTCAAATCTAATGGATCCCAACTGTATACTTTCAATTTCTATTAGGAGCAAAGTTATTTATTTATTTATTTATTATGAGAATGACAACTAAATTTGACAATTTTCCCCCTCTACCATAATGAAAGAACAAAGATTGAAATATAAATATATTTATATATATGAAAGAACAATGTTTGGATTATCAACATTGCCCATAACGATTCAGAGACAGGACCATATGGGACTCGCACCGTCCTGGATCAATAATTGTTGGTGCAATGTCGACAATAAAGCGGCACATGCAATTGGACCCAGAACTATGCTGGAAAGAAAATTCTGGGTTGGGATTGGACCTAAATTTTGGGCCTACAGATTCACAGAAAATTGGGCCTGCCCATTTTTTTTCCAAACTTTGTTGCTTATCCAAGCCTGTAGTTGCGTATCAAGGCTCGCTGTTTTGTTCGTCTATCTATCGTTCTATCAATCAATAGTGGAACCTTATAAAGAGCAACCATGGTTCCACTGACCTTCCTGCAAATGGGCTTTATGGGAGAAAAGGGGCTGCACAGGACTAGCCGAGACCTAGGGCTTACATGTAGAAGGTCCAGTAAAGTGGAGACTATGAAAATAGTCCAATGGGCCTTGTAGAGATCCAAAGAATCCATATCAAGCCTGTTGTTAATCTTATTAATACTGATGATGGGGGTTTAAATTGGTAAAAAAAAAGGAGCGGAATATTTTGATGCCAAGATAAGGGAATTGGCGAGAGCACAAGAGAGAGGCCAAGGACAAATTGATTGTCCTTTGGAGAAGGAACCGCCAATATGCGAAGACCAGTCAAGAATACATACTGGTGCTTTTGGTTTGTGGTGGTCCTGACCCACAAAATTCAGTGGCTTCTGAGTTGTGACCGTCTCATCATCAAATTATATATAGTTGTCATGCACCACCCCAACCCAACCCATCCCATCCCATCCCCACTTCCCATCCCCATCGCAGATATCTTAGCCTAAGGCATTTATTCTCATTACCATTTCCATCCATCAATTTTATACCCATATACCTACCGTCACATTTCTCAAACTTGTTATCTTTTTACACAATAATAACTACAAAATCATTTCATTTCGATAGTTAAATGCACGAGGCTTCTGTCAATTTCAGATGTGTATAATTCCCTGATTTATAGAATTGTGACCTCCAAATTACAACAAAAAAACGCCTAATAACACCCAACTAACTGATGGGTATAAAATGGTATATGGATTATTCTTTTCTTGATTAACACACATCTTATATATATATATATATATATATATATATATATTTGATTTTGGTGATTGTGGTGGTAAGTATGTTGTACTCCATTACCGCCAAATACTGCATATATATCGCACCATGATGTGACCATAGTTTCTGTGGAACTTCAGTTCAAAGCGGCTATGATTAAGCCAATATTCACGCCAAGTGATGGGATGGGTTCTTGCACTAATGCAAACTTCTTGATCCAAAAACAAAGACTTTTTTTAAGATCATCTCACACAATTCCATCGTCCTCGACTCTATCCAATGACTGTTTTACGTGTAAACTAGCCAGTGATACCAAAGTCAGTTCATTTATACTTTTTTTTTTTTCTTTACTAATGACAAGACGGGAAAGCTGCAAGAAGAATTGAGAAAACAATGATTGGTCTGGTGAAAGTTGCTAGAAATCACGTTGATTCATTCAATTTGGGGTCCAAATGCAAAACACATTTTTCTTTCAAATTATGCTCATTTAGTCTTAAACATTCACCTTTTGTCTATGCAACCGGTTTCAAAGTCAAACGCAAAACGCATTTTTCATCCAAATTATGCTCGTTTAGTCTAAATATGCACCCTTTTATCTACGCAATCGGGTTTAAAGTCAATCCCCTCTTCTCTTCTCTGATCGTAAAAAAAATTATATCGTTAGCTTAAATAATTCTTATTTTTCATTGTAGTTTAATGAGATTTTTGATATATTTGATAACTTCGAAGCAAGATTATTAATTTTTACTATCATCAATTGCAAATGATCCCTGAATTGGGAATACTCGGAATGGTACGGTAAACACTTTGGGATTACAAGTTGCATAAGAGAATCAGATGTTGATTTGGAGAGCTTCAGCATCAAGGTCATTGTCATGAATCTTTTTTTTAAATTATTTCAATGCTCGCTGGGTCAACTTTAAGGTTGAGAATTAAGTGCTAGCCCCACATTTCCATCGAAAAGATACCCTAATGATTAGACTACCATTAGAAGAAATTGCAGCTGATTAAAATCCTACTTTTTATCCTATACCTCAGCATTAACTCAGGATCCAAATTCTCTTCGGTGTTAGAAAATCACGACTCCATTATCTAAATCTTCGCCGGCCAACAGAATTCACAATATCATTTTCTTCATTACTCATTATTAATAAAATTATAATAGTGTGAAATTCACTTTTATACAAATAATTTAAACTGTAATATAATATCTTCTTTCATAACAACGTTATCTTTCGGGCCATTTAATCAATTGATACAATTTTATAGAGTATCGATTCCATAGAACGACTTTTGCTAAAGCTTGAGCAACCGAAATGATAGCTACCGTGTTTATACCCAAGACTTTTGCAACATGCTCAATATCATTTGATTAAATAGTTAATCAAGCCCCTTGTTTGAGATAACAAATTCAATGTTTCACAAAGATTTTGAATGACACCAAATTCAAATTGATTATATTTCGCCTCTTCCTCTAATAGGATCAAGTAATTTTCAATCATGATCTTGTGAACCATATTGTACATTAAAGTCAAATTATAATTACTGGACTAAGATAATCTCATTGTTATATAACAGAAGCCTATTGCTATCCACAAGAAAATAGTAGGACTGAAATTAAAATCATGGTTCCATTATCTAAATCTTCTCCGCCAACAAAATTTAAAAACATTTTTGAGTGATGTGCATCACTCATTATCAATGAAACTTTCGTTTGTTATTATGTGAAATTCGCCTTTAAACAAATAATTTAAACTGCATCCGGGAGGAAAACGATTGTACATAGCTTCCTCCCCCATAACAATGTTCTCTTTCAGGCCATTTAATCAATCGATATGTTTCCATAGAGTATCGATTCCATTGAATGGCTTTTGCTAAAGCTCGAGCAACGAGAATGATAGTTATGGGGAAAAATCACGGTTCCATTGTCTAAATCTTCTCCAGCCAACAGAATTCACAAAATCATTTTCGAGTGATGTTCATCACTCTTTATCAATGAAACTTTCGTTATTATAGTAGCATGAAATTCACTTTTAAACAAATAATTTAAACTACATCAAGGAGGAAAACGATGGTGCATAACATCCTCCCCCAAAATAACTTTTTCTTCTGACCATTTAATCAATCGATATGATTCCATAGAGTATCGATTTTAGAGAACGACTTTTGCAAAAGCTCGAGCAGCGGGAATGATATCTACCCTGTTTATACCCAGGGCTTTGCAACATGCTCAATATTATTTGATTGAATAGTTAATCCAACCCCTTGTTTAAGATTACAAATTTAATGTTTCTTCTTCAAAGGAATATGATCAAGTAATTTTCAATCATGATCCTTGTTAACCGAATATAGATACAAGTTTGGTTTGTACATTAAAATCAAATTATAATTACCGGACAAAGATAATCTCATTGCTATATTACAAAAGGCTATTGCTATCCGCAAGAAAATATATAGTAGGTTTAACCCATATCTTCTTTATTGTGTCTTTTTATTTTCACTTCTACACCATGTTTTCTAGCCTTCAGATGTACACATCCACGTCAAACTCAGCTAGTTATTTTGGAGCTATTCATCCGGTTTATTTTAGCATTATTTAGAACAAAAGATTTTTTTTTTTAACAAGACATTCTATTTCCAAAAGACAAAAAAGGTAATTTTTTTTAGTATATGTTATCTTGTGCAATAATTTATATGAAAAATATGATTAGTGACCTGACCAATGAACATGCCAACAAATTATTAATGCCCTTGAAGGACAAGCATAAGCATTAATTAAATCATATTCTTCCACCATTTGCTCATACTATAATCACTTTTAAAGAATCAAAAAAATAAGAAGAGGAAAAAAAAACGAAAAAAATAAAAAGAACCTCTTCTGACCACTGCACTGTCTAAAACAACATTCCCTTCCATAATATTATTAAATGAGGGAGTTTTTAAAGATATCGTTTAGCTTTATCAATGAGCATTAGTTCAGGTTTTACGATTTTTCTTTCTTAAAAAATTGAGTGTTCTAATCATGTGTATGATTAAAGAGATCTATTAGTTCAGATTATATGATCTCTTCTAACCAAAATATTAAGTGTTCGAACCGTGTGTATTGTTAAAAATAAATAACACTTGAAATAATAAAGAGGTCCACTAGAACAAAAAAAAAGTAGAAAACTTTTATGGTTGGAATCAGCACTCATCCAACTTGTAGTTGACTACATTATAGAACACCCATTCACTACTTCGATTTTTCCATAAATACTCCAACCCTATCGCTCATATGACTTGTGCAGTTCGCGGTGTGTGTATACATACATCTTTGATTGTAATATTCAAAAATTTGGTTGCCTAGATTGCATGTGCATTGCATTATTTCATTCTCACATCCATCCATTCGCAGCCATTTCTAATTATAAATATATGATACATACACACATATATATAGGCTTCACTTACTAAAGGTGTGTCACAAGAGCATATTGTTTTTAGGCATATATACTTAATTATTTGTTAGACCATGCGAATATCTATGCTCATGCGCAGACCAGAACCGCCTTTACTGAACCTTCCCACCGGTCGGATCAACACTCAAGTCCTCGAGCTCTGGCCACCGAAAGATAAGGTGGTGGTTGTGATGGGAGCAACAGGGACCGGCAAGTCCAGACTCTCCATCGACCTTGCCACCCGCTTCCCTTCTGCAGAGATAGTGAACTCCGATAAAATGCAAGTATACAAAGGACTGGACATTGTCACCAACAAGATCACCGAAGAAGAGAGCCGAGGTATACCTCACCATCTCTTAGGAGTAATAGATCCTAATGCGGATTTTAGTGCCACAAATTTCTGTAACATGGCTTCACACGCTGTGAAATCAATTGTAAACACAGGGCAGCTTCCAATCATCGTTGGAGGCTCCAACTCATACATGGAAGCACTAATCGAAGATGAAACATCCGAGTTCCGACCAAGGTACGAGTGTTGCTTCCTTTGGGTGGACGTGTCAATGCCTGTGCTCCATTCAGCCTTATCCAGGCGAGTTGATCAGATGGTTGAGGCCGGCATGGTGGAGGAGGCTAGAGAAATGTTCACACCAGACGCCGATTATTCAAGGGGAATAAGGAGGGCAATTGGCATCCCTGAATTTGATCCATACTTCAGAGCCCAGAGATGTTATAATGGCATCAGAAATGATTCGCTACTTCAAGCAGCAATACAGGCAATCAAGAACAACACAAGCCAATTGGCCAAAAGGCAGCTGGACAAAATACATAGGCTACGGAATGTCAGGGGGTGGAAGGTGCATCGGCTTGATGCCACCGATGTGTTCAGAAAACGCGGCAGAGAAGCTGATGAGGCTTGGGAGGAGATGGTGGCCGGACCCAGCAGCATGATAGTGAGCGATTTCTTAATGATTTCGGCCGGCCTGAGGTCTACCCCAGTGCCGTGGCTACCGCCATTAGAGGAGCCGCGGCAATGGGGACAGCCATGGCAGCTGCAACTCACTAGAAAGCAGCAAGTTGTGACTTCTATATAGTACAGTACAACTTGGCCTACTTTTTCAAGAGAGGAGTAAAAGGTCTAATTTATAAATTCCGTGGTTACAGTTGTGAATCTAGTTATCTTTGATGCTTTTGTCGGAATATAAAATTAAGAATATGATCCCACATTAACATTATAGAGCAACATAAACAATATCCTTTTCTTTAATTTCTTTTCTTTTTTCCCGGTAAGTAACACTAACTGATATCCATTAATAAATTCCTTGGTTACAGTTGTGAATCTAGTTATCTTTGATGCTTTCGTGGGAATATAAAATTAAGAATATTATCCCACATAAACAATATCCTTTTCTTGGTAAGTAACAGAAATGATGTCCATTAATAAGAAGTTACAGTACAAATGAAAAGGTAAATTTCAACAAACAAACTAGGAAAAAAGAAAATTTCAATAAATATGCCAATCCATCTATACAATCACCCAAATCTGTGTAGTCTTGTCTAATGAACTCGTCTCATCTACAGCAGTTCCTAATACTCTGTAGAAAAAAAACTCTATACCATCAAATTCAAATAATATTTTTCCTTGTCCTGTGTTAAATACATGAAACCAACCTGTTGCAGGAAGCAGAGACCAACTGTCGTTTGCATGAAAACCTACAAATGCATTTAGCTGGAAAGCAGCAATTCATCGCCACAAAAATTGACACAATCAACTGACACTGATAAATGTAACCATTCTTCATATATAAAGATAAGCATATAACTCCATTTGAGGTCCGCAATCCATCGAATATATTATTACAGGAGCACACTAGCACAAACAAAAACACAAACACAGTGTGGCAACTGGCAGCTAATTGCCATTAAATGCAATGGTATCGAAATTTCAGCGTCCTCGTGCAGCTGCATCTACCTGATGACAATTTATAGCGGTTTTCATCATTTGTCACGAACCATAAGACCAGAGGGACCTAAAAGTCTAAAACCTTGGCTTTGTCTGATTCATATCAGTTTAGTAGTTAATTCAAGACCAGTGTACATTTATCTTGGAGACTCGGGACTAAAATTGGTACAGGTACTCAGAACGGTTCACTTTTTCCCTGGATGACTCCCTTACTGAAAGATCGATTGTACTGTCTTCATATGCTATTGTAAGGTTAATCGAGTACACTTCTTTATGGGAACTTTCGAATGCTAAAGTTTATTTCATATTAAGGTTTTTTGAAACTGTAGTTATTTTACCAAGCCAACAGCTTCAAACAGTCATAATTTGTAAAAGATGCAACACAATGAAATGGTAAATAACCATAATAAGAAACTTACAAAGCCAAGACATGTAACAAAACACGAAACCTATAACTTCCAAATTAAGTTGGATATTTTAGCTTCATCAGACAGAAATTGTGACATTTAAATCCTTATTCGACCCCCACATGGATAAGTGACGTTGCATGCATCACCAACTATAACGGAGAATTGGTGCACGGGCCTAGACAGAAAAGGGGGCAAGTAAACCAGCAACTCACACACACACTCGGCGTCCACCTCCTTCACCCACCGGCAACAATCCTGTTCTACAGGTGTTTCTTGGTGTCTATGATGCCTGTGTCCATGTCTGTGCCCGTGTCCATGCCCATGTCCACGTCTGTGTCCGTGTCCGTGTCCGTGCTCTTGCTCATTACCATCATCATCAGGAGGCGAGGGAGGTGTGGGAGGGGGCCCTGGGTTGAATGGCAGCAGTGAGCATGCATGGTTCACAAGTGCAAACTGGGAGGCGCAGAGCGGACGAACAGGTATAGGTGGGACTGCTGGAGAGCACTTTGTCTTGGGATTGAGTAACAGAAATACCATCAACAGTACTAAATTAAGAATGTTGGTCCTACCCATGCCTCTTACCTCTGCCAACATGCCCGAAGAAACAGGAAAGGATAGTGGTTGCAAGTATTCCTTGCCTCAATATTTATACCAGAGCATTCATAAGCTTTTCATTTCCTAAAGTTAGGTAACCTAGTGGGTTGATTAAAGAAACTGGAATGACCAAGAGACTGTTGTACGGTAGTTGAAGTAATGAAGGAGTTTAGGTTCTGAATGGTTTAAGATGCCTCATTCATTTTGTGTGAGCCTTTGAGGAGTTATTGTCTGGTGAAATACTAAATGCCCCTTGGGTTTCACAGTGCAAAGTTGCCAACCTTGTTTCTACCACATGTAGGTGGAAAATAGAGGTTTCCGCATAGAAAGGTAAATTTTTTAAACACGAAAACAGCAATGTACACTTTGGTAAATGACTGTTTCAATTGGTCCAATCACCAACTAAAACATCAAAGTAGGTTAACAAATTGAACTTCTTTAATATATAAACACAACTGTCTGCAATTAGATACATAAATAATATTAAACTACTGTTAATGGTTAAAATTAAAAAAATAACGGTCTCAGCAACAAAGATACTTGCCTAACAAAGTTATATTTGATACTGGTAAATATTGAACCAAAAATAGGAGATTATATACTTTCAATTGAAGAATTTCTTAGAATAAAATGTATCATAAACACCCAACTTCATAGAGCCTTTAACCAGCTACTGCTACATAAATCATAAGATTAAACAAAGCATGAATACAAAGTTAAGTTTCAGCCTGTTATTATAGAATTTTGCAATTTGCTTCTGAAATATAAAATAAAATTATTTGGCATTCGGAGAATGCAATCCTGTAAATGGTGGAGATCCCCTATTATAGTTATGCTTGCAGAACAATAATACATGGAAATTGAATGACACATTACACTAATGGGAATAGACTCACACTTTGATATTTAAGATGCCTTTTCTTCTCCATTTTGAAAACCAAGCGGGACAACCTTTGTTCAGTTAAGTTGAGGTTACCAACTTTTACTAAACCAAAACTAATTCTAGAAAACTCAAACTGTATGAATATTATTCACATTCACAAAATAAAAACAGAGATCAAGTTGGGTGAAATGCAGGTTTCGGCCTATGACGACCATCACAAGCCATCTTTCATTTGTGTCACCAAGGATCAATCCATTGCCCTTCAAGTTCCAACTCAACAGCAAAACCTTTTCCACCCATACATCAAAATGACATCTGAATGTTCTTTTCTTTTCTAATCTAAACAAAGATGTGGATGTAATAAAAATAAGATGGTACATGATATTACTGATCTGATGCATATGAGAAGAATGCCTGTATAGGTAGACTATTTAAAACTCTGACCAAAACATATGAACAAAAAATGCAAACTCTGTTACCGAAGTTTCAAGAGGCCAATGCTTATGCGAGGGTTTGGATGGTGGTCCACTATATTAATAATGATTCCTCTACCCCCAAAGGAAAAGGTCATTCCCTTATGATCTGGTTTTGGGGGAAGAGGGAATAAAACCCCAACACCGTGGTTCACAGCCACATGCCCTAACCCTATGAACTACAATGCCCACCCTAATTCCACTGGATCTATTCCCAGGAGTCCTCTTATAAATAAAAGGAACCTTTCCTCACCCCAAAACTTTTGGTAATCTAGTCTGAAATCAGATTTTTTTTCCAACTTTTCCATTCATTATTTTTTTATAATATTTTCGTCCCATCTTTGTTTAGCAGCAAACGAATTGCGTCCTGCAGCCTAAGCCTTTTCTATGGTTTCAACTCTATCTTGACATAACATCGATCCAGGGATGCCTCTGAACTGAGAATTCAAGTTATTTCAATTATGTTTCTGAATGCATAGTATTTCTTAGACATGCATTTATATCAGGTACTTGAAAACTAATGTAACTCCAGATTTTTACTGAAACATAAACTAGAATGATAAGACAAACGTGAATAAAATGCCAGACAACAATATTTTCTCTACAAAATTTAGAATAACCCTAACAAAGTAAAGCATTCGCTACTATCAGTCCTGTCCAAGTGCCCCATGCCTCCAAAGATGCACCTTAGATAAATAATTAAAAGGACAGTTACATTTCATTTCAGTCCATAGAACCAATGAATTCATGACAAATTCTCAACCATCTGCAATTAGATTTATGAGCATAAGCATCTAAATAACACACATTCTAACACAAAGTTTGCAAAAGAACGTTCCAGAAAATAATTCTTAACTTTCTAGCTAACAGGACTAAAAATCCCAACAACATGTCATCGGCAAAGGAAAGAGCAAGTAAAATAAACCAAAACAAATGAATTCCAGAAATTTACCGAAATCCAAAGCCATTACTAAAATCGGAACCAACTTCTCCATGAAATGACAATTATCTTCAGATCTCTAAATTCACCTTTATTTGTGTCTGTACCATATTCCCATCTCTAACAGCACCTTCCAAAACACCCCTATGAAAAAATTCCTTTGGTATCTCCATATCAAATGGTAAGGATCCCCCTGTATAACACATCAAAGCAATTGAAATATAGATATCATGCATTCCCGCATAAGCCATATTTGAAAGTAAAAATGAGCTCTGCAAAGAAATCTGATAGACAACACCTTTATGACCATTATAATAAAACTGGATACAATATGTTTCATCTACTACATACTGTATCAACATTATTACTTTCAAGCTATGTTACTTGGAGTCAGGTAAGTGTATCAGATGCAGGTGTGTGTGTCTAAGCGTTGGACCTCCACAAATCCCAAATCTTAGGATACGGGCATATGTGTCCAAAATTAGATATGGGTACATAGACATGTACTACGCATGTAAATAGATAGGGGTGAGCAAATAATTCTTCAATCCGTTAATCCGGTCCGAACCAATCCGATCAGTGTGGTTCGGTTCGGTTTTCAGATCTCATGGTTCGGTGATAGTTTAAAAAAATAGCAATCCGCTATTCGTGATTCGGTTAATGGATTGAGCCCTGAAAAAACCAATCCAAACCGTTGCCTAAATAATATATTAATATATTATATATAACTATATATATACAATATACAATATTGAATATTCTTATTGTATTTCTATATTTTTTTTATTCATTATTCTATTTGGATAATTTATATTCCCTATTATTAAGTATATAATTTACAAATCTATTGCTGTTAATTAGTATATGATTTACAAATTTTATTGCTATTACTGCTGGTATATGATTTACAAATCTATTTTATTTTTCTAGTTTTAATTACTAGTTTTTAATTATTAATTTGAGATTTTAATGGGCCATAAAGTCTAATTATATTGGGCTATTTGAAAAGCCCAATCTGCCTAAACCGATCCGATCCGATCCGTTATTTCACGGATCGGTTCGGTTTCAAATTTCTCCAATCGGTGAGGACCAGTTCGGATTGAACTTTACCCCAAACCGAACCGATCCGATCCGTGATCACCCCTATAAATATATACTCAATTATTTTATTTAATTGTAATTTTAATGTTGTTGTTTTATAAATATATACTCAATTATTAATTAAACTAAATGGGATGTGGTAAAAGAGAAGGGTCCATCTATCTTATAATAGGAAACTCGTCTCTACTATTAGATTTGAGTTTTTTTCTTCTTCTCCAATCATGCCATGTGAAAGATTGGAGTGTCCGATTAGGGTTCATGTATGGTATATGTATTCTATGCACATACCCGTGTCGTGTCGACACAGGTACGATGAAGGGACATAGAAGAGTCCGTATAACATGGCTTCAAAGTAATATAGAAAAGGGTCATTACCTGTTAATCAAGAGTGCTGAAAGGAGCAGACTGTATACAGATATAACCTTTGATATTATTTGCACAAAGTGGCTGATGTCAGGATTCACACTCGTGTGAGAACACTCGATGGCTCAAGCATTTTACCACCACACTTGGTAATGGCCCCAAACCATTCCAGTATAACTAATTTCTGAGGCATTTTAATGTTTGTGAATTACTTGACCATATTGACAAGCCGCCTTCATTTTTAGGAGGGAAAAACGAAGGAAAACAAAAAGATAATGGTTGTGTTTATGATTTCAATGGCAATCTAGAGAAATTTAAATCATGAATGCGGGTGTATGTATTATCAAATGATGTAAAGAAGCTGCAATTTTTATAATTCTGAATAACGAATAGATTCAGTTTTACTAATATCAGAATCCTCTGCCTATTTATTTGGAAGCACATAGAAAAATCAGACATGATATTACCTGCTTGAACAAGAATTCCTATCCCTAGATACTGAGTAAAGAAAGTTATTTCAAGCATAAAGAAGTACATGGTCCTTAAAATGTCTAGCTCTGAATGTATAGAGTCCATTTGAGACTAGGAAAGATGTCATCAGGAGTATTCAGGAGTTGCACAGAAAGACTTGTGGACAAAATATTGACAAGTTTAGAATCTATTGTTAGTGGAATTATAGCCACCTTATGAGAGAAATTTGGGCATGTTCTTTAGAGGCAAAATTTTGTTAAATCCTGACGTCGGCCAATGAGAGAGCAGATCTAGCCAAGAGAGAAACTACCTTGTCTTCTGCTTGTAAGGTCATTTTTTCCTTTTTTGGAGCTTGTGAGAGGAGGTTCCTTTGCATTACTCTTTAGCCTTCTTGATTATATATTATTCATCCTTCTAATGGTATTCTCCTTCCGTTTTCTACTGAGTGGGGGGAAAAAAAAAACTCCTATCATAACTACTTTAAACAAGTACAGGGAAAATGGAGAAAAACAAAGGAATTTTGAAGATAAAAACGACTTCCAAACAAGAAAATTTGAGAGAAAACTACAATAACGATGTCCTGGCATCTGATCTCTTGGAATAAGCCAATAACATTAATCACTTATCAACTAACAACCAGAAAATCAATTAAAGTAGTTTGCTCTTCTGGTAGCTGAAATTTGAAATCATAAATATAATTCAGTAGTGGAGATACTAAATTTAACAGGACGCCAAAAGCAACAGTCCATAATCCCTATTGTAATAAGGAAAATGGCTATACTGAGGGCATGACTCACCATGAACGCACCCTCATCATAGACTTGCTCTTATTATAAAATGTCATTAACTATTGCTAGGCCCCATACTATGTGGGATGCTAGGAGGGAAATATTAAGACATATCTCACCTTCGGCACTATTTAGCACAAAGTAATTGCTCACGTACATTAACATGTGTCCTCACACTTGATAGTCCGCGCTTTTACAATTGCACTAAGCAAGAACAAGTTATATATCAATGTATCATTCTGCTGTAATCATAATTAATAAATTAAAAAGAATGACTGCGTAAGGAACTAAAAGGGTCATAAATAAAAAGAATGACTGTGTAAGTAACTAAAAGGGTCATTCATATTTAACGGTTTCTCAACATATCTAGTCATCATTAATAATGCACTCAATGGATTTTCACTGCCAATAACATCTATGATAGTTTTCTCTCCAGTGATAGAGATCATTCCTGCCTGGGCTCCGTTCAGCTGGTCAGATCTGCGCTGGAGACAAGATCTTGAGAAATTCCAAAGGGACGGGAGATCCTTTTAAATAAGTTCTGATTGAAGAATTTCTAACCTAAAATAAAATTGATCATAAAGTATTCAAATGAACATAGTCTGACCCAGCTATCCAGTGAACTGAATATTTCATAATATTTTAACATAGCATGAAAGGAAAGTTAAGCTTGAGGCATTTTTGGTTGAAAAACTAGTGGAATTTCATTTTTCAAATGGAAAAACTAATACAATTCAAAATACAACCACCACATCAAACACCTTCAAAAAGTTTAAATCATACAACGACAAGGGCTCACCTCCTTTGTTAATCACCTTTACAAAACTTTCCTTCCAATATATTCTACCCTCCAGAGAATTGAGGAATTCACTAATGAGCTCCTAAATTATTTCACACTTACGTTTACAAATTTGTGAAGTAAACACATGCCTGAATTCTATGCAGACAAGCTATAACTGTATTCTGCTATATAACATTTTCCGAATCAGCTAACAACATGATGACATAGTCTAAACCCAATTATTTACTTTAGATACGGTTACCGTAATGATATCCATTGCAGTGAGACCAAGAAGATACTAATTCACCAAAACTTTTCACACACTCTTTCAAACATAAACTAAAAGAAAAGTTCATAATCAATTATTTCTTACCATCATCTTGTCATTTATAACAATCCATTCCATGAATTTTCTTTTACAAAAACCGGTATCTATGTTCGGTGTAAGGAGCATCCTGGAATCCTGCCTGGGCTGGAGCTGCTGGTTCGGTCTGCTACATGGAGTAAGATGTTGAAAAAAGTCAAAAGCCAAACTGTTGGAAAGTGAAACTTCTACTGGAATCGAACGTGAAGGTGTTGCCTGAGACAGAGTGGGGGAAAATAATTTCCAGCCCAATCTTATCCATTGACTATTTCTGCTTCAATTCTTCTTTCCCCCAGGAGCGTTAATTTTGTGCTACTTTTCAAAATAACTGGACCTTTTACAATTTCACGGATGTTAATTGTTTTCATTACAAGTCAATTCTGCATTCCTTGCTGCCATCATTTCCATGTCCTTCTGAATTACTTCCCTTTGCAACCTCAACTGCTCCGCCCTCTCCCTGTGTCCCTCAGCCAACAACTCAACGAACTTGTCTTTTATTTCAAGCAGGGGATCTCGGTCAATCAGTTTGTCATCCTCGTATGCTTCCCTTAGCATTGCAGTCTTAATTCCGCCCTTCAATGACATGTAAAATATCCCCGAATGCCTTGTGAACACAGCCGAAAATGCATTTGAAAACCTATACTCTTCGCTAAACTTTCCCAAAATTGGCACCGGAATCCTCTTATAGATCGAAAGTGAAAGCAACTCATGGAAAACCCCAATCGTCCTCTTCTCCATTTCCGGAGACGCTTGATCCAGATGTGATGCGTCATCATATGGCGATATATATGGGAGCTCCATCCAATCCCTAATCCATTCCCTCATCTCCTTCTTGAGAAAAAACCCCGATGGAAGTTTGACATTGAATCCCGGTCTAACCCTTATCCCTGTCAACCTCGACTCCTCCTCTGCCCGTTGCTCTATTACAGATTTGGCAAACTCTGGGTTCCACGAAACCAACTCTAAAAATGATTTCCCCTCTCCAGGGCAACCAACTAATCTAAAATATTCTGGGTATTTCGGCAACAAATTTACCAAAAAATCATTCGGGAAGCCAAATTCCCTCTTCACGTGTACTAATTTATCCGCACTGACCACCTTATTCTTCGACATCATTAACAATTTACACAATTTGGTAACAACTAATGGCTCATTTTCAAGATTAATTCTCTTTTCTTCTTCTAAAAATTGATGAAAACGATCACTAACACGAAGAAACGGGACGGGCTCAGTTTTTGGTTTGATCCGATCAAGGTAGATATCGAAAAGTCCGGGGTTTCTGGCAAGGAAGGTCTTAATTGTGATTGAAAGGCGCATTCTTTCGCGCCGTTTCTCTAGGTACCGAAGGGGAATGACTTGACCCGGTTCGTTTAGGACCTCTTTGACGACTCTTGCACAGAGTCTCCATTGTTTATCGTTTTCAATGGCTTCGTCTAGTTTCCGGTCTTTGCGCCAAACTACTTTGAGGCTCGATATCGAAGCGGTGAATTGAAGCCAAACCCTAACCCTAGAAATTGAAGTAGAGTGTCTGATACTGTTCAAGTGGGAAGCCAATGTATTGGTGTTGAAAAGCATACCTGAGATTAGATGATGCCGATACTGAAAAACAGCAAGCGCGTGACCGATTGATCGCCTCGAAAACCGGATTTATCGACTGATTTGAGAAACGAGTTTGATTTGCCGAGGAATGGGAAACTAGGTTTGGGGGTTTACGCACGTGGGTTCTGTTTTGAGCCAAGAAATGGAAATAAGAAACTTTTCTCGGGAAACAAACGGTCCTCGATTGCTGAACGTCGTCTCCTGGGTTAAGAGTGTGATTGGACAATTGGGCTTCTATCTATACTGAATCAAGAAGATCCACTTCAATGTCGTTACGAATCAACAATGGATCGGAATGAGAAAACAATGCCATTAAGAAAAAAAGCCCACTTAGCATTGCGTAAGTTGGGTATAAAAGCCCACTTAGCAATTTACGGCAGTTGTGTGATTCTAAATTACAAAAACAACCCATCACAAAATACACAATGCAACTAATTTATCATTCCTTCTCTAGTTTGCTTTTCTTATGCTACAATTAAAAATACTAGTAGTAAAAGAAAAAACTTGTTTGTTGAGCCAAATCAGCCCAAGTCGACAAGTTATATTTGCACAGTAGCGTGGTGGACCCCACAAATAATTTGAGGCCTACCAACCCTCGTTCTTTTTTTTTTTTTTTGAAAAGTTAAGCAACTGACATTAAAGCAAAAATAATTAGAAAGTTTAGGGCCGGAGCCCAGTTACAAGTAAGATTAAGAACAAGCCCAATGGGCAACAAGGGCACAGGCCCAGACCAGCCCAAAAGATCCTCCCATTAATTAACTTCCAAAGAGCCGTTAATGGGGAGAACACAACCAATTCCGGTGAACAATTCAAACAGAGACGTTGCCGGATTGACGGCTAGGATGAAAGATCTGGAGGACAAGGAGGTGGTCTGCAACAGGATGGGGGAAGATTCCATTCCGAGAGAATTAACCTCGAGGCCGCAGAGTCCTTTAGAAATCCCAGTCTAAGAATTGAAGTAATAGAGTGGATAATTCTGGCAAGAAGAGTTCTTTGCGAGCATTTACCTTTCTTGAAAATTCCGTTGTTTTGCTCTTCCCAAGTGTGATAAACCATTGCAGAGAAACAAATTTTCCTCACCAAGTTTTGGGGAGAGTTAGTCTTCCACATGGAACTTGTCAACCGAACCAAACTATTCCAGTTTGTGATAACTGTTAAGAAGTGGCATTTGTCTTTTAGGAATCTCCAAATTGGAGAGACAAAAGAGCAATTGAAGAACAAATGATCATGAGATTCCGGAGAAGTAGCACACAGCGGACATGCGTTTTGGAATTTGGACATGGATTTGCTATCAAGTGTTGGCAATCTGGATTGAACTGTCATCCATAAGTTAAATTTCATACGAGGAATGATTGGGGAGCTCCATACCAGATTGAACCAAGGGACCTTGTCTAGATGTCCTGCTAAGTGGGAAGTTGTATGCTTGTAACTGTAATGGCCAGAAGGTAAAGCTAACTAAACCTTCTTGTCACTGATAGTTGGACATGGAAGCTGTAAGTGCAGAAGCTCAGGGATATTATCTGTTAATGACTGTGGGAAAGACCAGTGAGAAGTACTGTCGATGAAAGTCTCAAGAGTGGAGTTTTCATTGATGCCAGCTGTAGTAAGGACTGAAGAAGGGAATCTGGTGCAAAGTGGACCTCCTGGAGCCCAGTTATCCCACCAAAGAGAGGTACCAGTTCCATTTCCCACCATATGTTTAATTATCAGCCTAGTTGGGTACCTGAGTTGTAGTAGCTTTCGCCAGCTCCATGAACAAGAATGTGGATATTTAAGAGTCTAGAAATTTCTGGACTTGATTAGATGTGTGTTACACCATTTAATCCAGATTCTCTCCATGTTTCCACATTATAGGTCCCAAATGTGCCTCATTATGCCTGCTTTGTTTGCTTGCTCTAAGTTAGGGATGCCCAAACCTCCAGCCTTTTTAGGCTTGCATACCTTGTGCCAAGCAACTTTTGAGCATGTTGCTTTCATCTCTACCCCAGACCATAGAAATGATCTAAATATTCTATTGAGCTCATCAATGACTCCTTTTGGAAGTATAAAAATGCTGCTCCAATAGATTTGGGTTTAAACCAAAACTAACTTGATCAATTGTAGTCTGCCAGCATAGGAAAGTGACATAAAAGTCCAGTGTGTAATTCTGTGAGTAATTTTGTTGATGAGCTGGCTGCAGTGTGAGGCTTTCAAACATGTTGTGATTAATGGAACTCCAAGGCATTTAACTAGGAGGTCAGCTTGCCCAATGCCAAGTAGAGAGGTGATAGGCCAGACATACAACTAAAGTGATCCAGTGCACATTTAAGAACCGATACTGAAGCCAAGTCTCATAACAAAATAGGAACAAATCATCAGCATAGGATAGGTGGGTAATCTTTTGGTCCTTACACCTCCAATGGTACCTGAAAGTGTGAACTCTATCCACATAATTTTTTTATTATGGAAGAGAGGGCATCCATTGCAATAACAAAAAGGAAGGGAGAGAGGGAGGGAGAGAGGGGATCCCCTTGCCTTAACCCCCTTTTCCTTTTAAAATACCATTTGAATTCACCATTAAGGGCAATAGTGAAGGATGGTGAAGTCACACATACTTGAATGAGGGAAGTGAATTTATCAGGGAAGTGATGAAGTTTGAGACAATTGAGGATGAAGTCCCATTTGATGGAGTCAAAGGCTTTCTTCAAGTCAATTTTAATGGCACATCTTACAGAATTGGAATGCTTGTGGTATCCCCTTAAGAGCTCATGAGTAAAAAGTATGGGATCTGTGATTTTCCTGCCATGGAAGGCTGATTGGGAAGAGTCAATAATCTCTGGTAAGGTAAGTTGCAGCTTTATTGCAAGTAACTTGGCTATGCACTTATATATAGTGTTAACACAAGAGATTAGCCTGTAATCATGCACTGAAGATGGGTTTTGACATTTTGGCCCCAGACATATGTAGGTATGATTATCCTCCCCCATCAATTTCCCATTCCTAAAAAACTAAGCAATGGCAAGTGTAACTGATCTTTCAACAATGTTCCATGCTTTGTGAAAAAAAAAAAAAAAAAATCCATTTTAGCCATCAGGACCTGGTGCTTTGTTTGGATTTAAGTTTAGGAAGCAGTTTTGGATCTCCAAGTGAGTTGGAGGATCATCTAGGTAATGATAGAGGTGAGAAGGGATTTGAGCTGTAATGAAAGGGGAAAGGTCACTGATATGGTGTGTGGTTGGAGGTGTAGTTCCCAGTAAGTTTTGGAAATGAGCAACAACTTCAAGCTGGATTTCCTCCTTATCATAGAGAGTAAAGCCTAAGGCAGATTTAAGTGAGATGACTTTGTTTCCGTTGGCCCTTGAACAAACTAATTTATGGAAAAAAACTAGAATTGCAATCCCCAAGCTTCAGCCAGGACATTCTAGATTTTTGTCTTAATGTATCTTCCTGAATATAGCCAAGTCTCAGCAGCTCATTAGTAAGTATTTTCTCCAGTTCTCGAAGGCTGTGGTCATCTGGTGTGTTTTCAAGGTCCCTTTGACATGCATTTAATTCCATCCTCACAGCTTGCAGCTTTGAGTCAATTTCAGAAATTTCCTTCTTACATTTTGATCTCAGCTCTTGTTTCAGCAAATTTAGTTTTTGGACCACCTGGAACATAGCTGTACCCTTGATGAATTTAGACCAAACCTTATGTACTGTAGAGTGAAAAATTGGATGAGTGAACCAAGCATTGAAAAACCTGAAGGGGACTTGTCTTCTTGGGGTGGCAAGGTCTAGATTGACTAGGATAGGGCTGTAGTCTGAGATGTTTGGGGGAAGAAAGGTGCATTCAGATAAAGGGAAAGTTTCAGTCCATGTAAGATTGACCAAGGCTCGATCAAGTTTCTTAGCAATGCATGCATTTCCCATACTCTTGTTGGACCAAGAATATAGGATTCCACTGAACTTCAAGTCCTCTAACTCAGTTTCTTGCAGACAGTCATTGAAGTCTGTCATTGCATTACTCCATCTCATTGAACCTCCATGAGTTTCCCCAATGTTTGGTATAACATTGAAGTCACCCATTAAGAGCCATGGTGTGTTGGCAAATAATTGAGCATGATTGATTAGATCATCCCATAGAAGCTGCCTATCAGTTACAACATTAGCAGCATAAATAAATGAAGTGAAAAAAACAACATTTAAGCCAATAACTGAGACTGAGCAGTGAATAGCCTGTGATGTGGTGGTGATGACAGTGAGTTTAATGGTGTTGGGGTTCTATAACACCCAAATTTTGCCTAAGTCAGAGAAGGTATAGTTGTGTACCAAGCTCCAAGTAGGAGCAATATTCCTATGGATAGCTGCAACATTTGTGGGGGACACTTTAGTCTCCACTATTGAGGGTGTGTCAATTTTGTTATCAGAGATCAGTCTCTTAATCTCTGACTATTTAGGGGGTTGGTTTAACCCCCTAATGTTCCATGTAAGGAGAGAGATCATTTAAAAGGAGGTGAGAAAGAACCTCCAAGATGTCCTTCAGACATCAGATCATTGCAGGGAACAATCTTTTTCCTTGCTGCCTTTTTCAAGCTTCTCATTGATTGTAAGACTTTCTGTTGAGTACCTCCTGGATCTGAGAGGGTGGAAAGGACAATGGTAGTATATCTCTTTGGGCTGGGAGACAGAGAGGTCTGGTAGGAAGGTGAAGGACTTTGTGTAGGGTTTGATAAAGTACGTGGGTTTTTGAAGTGTGTTTTCTTGCATTTTTTGTTGCATTGAGGGTAAGTTGTAGGTGATATGGTTTTTTGTGGAAATACAGAGGAAGGGTGTTGTGTTTCAGGCAAGGTTGAAGGAACTGATGTGGGGTTAATTGGAGAGAGGGGGGAATTGTCTTATGAGAAGGTTAGTTTTTTACTGCATAATGGGGAGAATGGTGGTGTGTGTGTATGAGAGTCTGAGTTGTGGCATATAATGGGTTTGTCTGTTATAGTATGGTTAGAAGGTGGGGGGGTGTAGTATGAAAGTTGGGTGGTGGGATTCGTAATGCTCTTCTGGATGGTGTGGTGTTGTGAACATGCTAAAGGTTGGAAGTGATTGGTGTTGTTAGCTGCTGGGGAGGAGAGGGAAGGTAGTTTGGATGATTGGTTATTGTTGAGTTGTGATTTGTTCTTCTTTTTCTTTCTGATGGTGACCCATTCAGTAGTTGGCTGGATTGCTAGACTGTGCTCCACCAATGCTAGTCTTGGACTGGTACCCTGCTGCAATGGAGCTTGATTGTTTTGTTGTTGAGATGGAGCTGAATTGATATGGTGCTATGTATGATGATTAAGGATATTAAGTGGACAGGAGGTGTCAGAGTGATTAAGTTGGTAATATTTGCTGCAAAATTTTGGGATCCACTGATATTCAAGTCTGATATCCACTATATTACCATCCATTTTGAGTTGAACTTCATTCTATATAGGGTTTTTGAGGTCAATGTTTACGCACAGCCTTGCAAATTTGAGTTTTGTTCTTTCTGCTGTTGCTTGATCAGCATATAGAGGTTCTCCCACTGAACTGGCAATATAGCTGAGGCCATTAGCTGTCCAATATTCAAGTGAAATGTTGTAGAATTTGATCCAAGTTGGAATGCTGGCAATGGTTGAAGGCTGCAAGTGAGATTGGTTTGTCCATCTCATCATGGAGAAGGGATGTCCAGCAATGGACCATGGTCCTAATGATAGAACCTTCTCTGCTTGGGATGAGGAGTTGAATCTGAAGATAAATAAATTGTTTTCTCCCAAAATTGTATGTGTGGGGCCATGTGAAGTCCAGAGCTTGGCTGCTGCAGCTTGAACAACCTTAAATGGAAGTCTTTTGTGAAATGATTTCCCAACCAAATGGAGTGATCCCCAAAATTTTAGCCCTTCTTCAGCAATCTCTTGGGGAGGTTCAATTATGGATGAAAGAGATGACGAATTATAAAATTTGAGCACAATTTTGTTGTTACTTTGTTTTACAACATCAGTCCATGTTTTTGACCCATGTGTATTTGGCTGAGGTAGTAGGGGCATTGCTGGTCATTTTTTAGGTCGCGGTGACCACAAGATTGGAGAAGCGTGCAATTTAGGTGAGGGCCAAGTTTTACATTTATAAAAGCCACTATTACCTTTCACTATAAATATAGCTAGGGTGAGTAGGGATCGTCCCAAGGGATTGGAGTCGGAGTTGATTGTAGAATCACTATTAGGGTTAGTAGGTCGAGTGATCAAACAATTGATTGGTTGGTTGATTAGATTAGAGAGCAACTAAATTAAACTAGGTAATTGAATGCAATGGAGAGTAAGTAAGAGAGAGAGAGAGATCTTGGGGTTTAAAGATCACCACCAAGCAATGCATTTCTATATCATTGATAAGTGACCAATGAGGGCAATTAGTGTATTGCAATACTAACGTGTGTGTGTTGGCTAATTTAAATAGTTAGGGTGACTAATTAAGTATACATTGTCGAACCAACATGTGAAAAGCACAATATATCTAGCAATTAAGTATATATTGTCTAAATAACATGTGAAAAGCACAACATATCTAGCAAGTCATTAATCATTTTCATTGAACTTACAACCATGCATAACACAAAATTAGAGACATATGCTACTTGCATTCAAAAGTATGAAGTATCAAACAACTAGCATGAATTGTCTTCCCATCTAATATTATACTATCATTAAACTACAATTAAGCCATTGAAATTAAACTAATTTAACTAAGAATGAGACACAATCCAACAAGAAATGAGCATGAACCATCTAGAGAATCACAAGAACATTCCTTTAAGCACCATGTTTTGACAACCTCTAAATTTATGGCATCAATACACATAGACATGCATCAATAACACAAAATCTAGAGATAAGCACATGAACCTCTATTATAGCATACATAGACATATGAATAGAATGAAATGATCAATTGGAAGCATTAAACAACACAAATCATTGATTAAACAAGATCTATATATATCAAAGTGTCAAAACATTAATTACAACACTAATCCCTCAATAATACACAAGATTAAGATATAGAAAGCATGATTGGGGCTAACTCTAGCCCCAAGAGGATGTCTAGCCACTCATGGTGAGGATGCTCCAACCCTCAAGGGCTAACTCCATGGAAGAGGTTTGCTCCTTGTTGATGAAGATCTCCAATGGTGTCTCTAGCCTCCTCCTCCAAGCTTCCTTAGAGATGGTATATCTAAAAAAAATTTAAGTATATCCCCCATGTCTCTTCACTAAAAAACAATCATTATCCTTATATAGGTAGGTTAAAATCACTCCCCAAATGAGCTAAGGTCGTGCACACAATATTCTCCAATGATTGGATAAGGGACAACTTTCAATGAGCTAGAATTTTAACTTTTTGCACTTGGAGAAAGTTCGATCGATCGAACCTTAGACTTGGATCGATCGAACTGAGGCTGGATCGATCCAACTGGCTGAGCTTTTTGGGAAAAGACAAATCCGAGATATTTTGGGAGATATTTTTGGGAAAAGGACAAAGGTGGTTAGTGGGTAGACAGTTATGAATAAGATCAATAATTTGGATAAGGACAATGGTGTTCGATCGATCGAAGAATGATATTGGATCGATCAAACTTTTGGACTTAAGTGCTTTTAGGTCAAGGCTTGGATCTATCTTGAAGTGTTGAGATCGATCAATGTTCGATTGATCGAACCTTGGACTTGGATCGATCTGTAATACCCCTAATTTTAAAAAGGATATTCCTGGTATTTAATTTATTTTTTAAGTGCATTTTATTTGATTATGTGTCATTATTATTTTTTTTATTAGGTGCTTAATTGTTTTCTTTTGCGGTGATTTAATTTATTTAAATGATATTTATTTTTAGTATTTGATTGGAATTACTTGTTAGTGTTTTAATTATTTAATTGGCATTAATGGTTTAAGTGTAATTGGTTTAGTTATTTGATTGGAATTACTTTTTAGTGTTTTAATTATTTAATTGGCATTAATGGTTTAAGTGTAATTGGTTTAATTATTTTATGTGTGTCTTATTTTATGTGTGTCTTATTTGGTTTAATTGGGTTTACTAATTATTATTTTGTTCAATTAGATTATTTGTTAAGTATTTAATGGTGAATAGGGTAAATAGATAAATACATCTAACAAGGGTTTTAATTACAGTATAAATTAGGGTTTTATATTATAGCTGTCGTAGGTTTCTACGTTAATTGGATGGGCCGGTTAGGATTGTGAGTTGGATTTAAATGAACCTAGGATTTAGGAAAACTCTATAAGTATAAGGTAGACGTCTGTGTAGGGTTTTTTTAAAACAAAGCACACGTTTTGTGGAAGTGGAGAAGGAAAAACGCAGTTTTTCACATTCTGCCAAGGTTTGATCAAAGCTCCGATCCCGCTTCGTCCATAGTCCGATCGAGCTGAATTTTAGAGGAGAGGTTCATGACTCAGTGACGCACAATCTGAACGGTGAAGATCAAAGTTTGACCTCAGGAACAGTGATTCGTACTCATGAACAGTAACCGGGTCGCACAGGTTTTTTTCCATTCTGCCCAGATTTCATCAAACATCCGATTCCGCTTCGTCCGTGGTCCGATCGAGCTGAAATTTGGAGGATAGGTTCATGACTCAATGTCGCACAATCTGAACGGTGGAGATCAGATTTTGAGTTCGGGAATAGTGTTTCGTACCCGTAAACAGTAACCGGGTTTTGGAACTCGCCGGGATTTTTTAAGAAGACGACGTTGAAACTTTGAACAAAAGTTTCTGAGGCAAGATTCTATCCTTACTCTTTCCCTTAGGCTTCATACTCTTTGCACTCTTAAATGATTCCAGGATTAATGAAGATTAAACCAAACTAAAATGATATCTGTTTTGCTATGAAACTGGTAGTTACAGTAGTGTTATATGCTTGTTCAACATAGACTAAGCATGTTTGTGGATGCATTGTGGTTCTGTGGTTCACGTTTTTCCTTACCACTGCTAGTATAAATTATTAGAAGGATGGGTCTAGATGATAGCTATCTTAACTTCTGTAATAGCAACTGTTGGAACTTAAATACTAGGAGGATTTGAGTTTAACACTAGATCGGTTTTGTGGAACACTATAATTTGAGCATGTCTACATACATACTGTGAATATTGTTTTGATGCTTACATTATCACAGTTAGTATCAACTGTGGAGGTTAGGATTTTGTGATACATACCCTACGTATCTGTATGTCATTTGTAAGGTGTTAAATGGAAATTTTAATTAATTCTGTCTTTATATCAGACTAAAGGGAACAACTTAAATTGGGCATGTATATGTTGTTATTGTGACCCTGTTTATCAATGCTTATTTTATCACTGCTAACATTGAATGTTGGATGTTGGAATTTAGTTGATATATACTTGATTTATTGGTATTATTGACTACTGGAGGATTGGAAAGTAGGCACCGGTATGGGACGGTGGCATACTAAGGATGGGTTTGGTTTTTAAAACAATACTATTACCCACCTACTTGGAATAACGATGGGATTAACTAAAAGTTAAGTCCCGTGGATTTGTATTGTCATGGCAACCACTTGTTGAGCGGCAATACCAGGGATTTTGGATGGATTTTATATATGTACTGTTATGGTGCCTCGGTATGAGCTTGAGCCTCAGGACCGATGGTTAGGGAGCGTATATGCATCGGGATGTGTAGCTGGCTACGATGGTTGGAGGTGTACCCTGTTTAGGTATAGGTACACATGCCCACTTCGTGTGCGTTTTAGCATGTTACCTCTATTCAGGTTGAGACCGGCCTGTAGTCCAGTGAGAGTCCTTTAGTGTGATTATATATATATTTACGGACTATTAGCTATTGTTGAATTGTTTAGGATGTACATGCGTATCGGGCCTCTGTTTGGATTGTAGTAGTATAGAACTTGCGCGTGGACCTGACCCACTTCTATTTTTCAGGTACACGACAGTTCCAGGCTTAGACGTGTTCGTGCTGAGCAGAGGTCTCTATTCACTCTTCCGACGATGCAGGGCTCTCTCTATAGTTTTATTTCTGGACGTTTATTACAGTTGTTCTATTTTCCGTTTGGATGTTTAATAGGGGTCCACTAGAGATGGATTCCCAAGTTGTAAACTGATGGAGTTTTGGAGTTTGGGTTTGATGGATTTTAATAATTATAATATTTTACGGATTCTATTTTTAGTTCCTTCCAGCTTTTCATTTCTTAATTTATTTTGTATTCCGTGTTCATTATAAAATATTAATTGTTTGATATTCTCTCGGGTTTGGGCCTGGGCCTGATCAACCCGTGTCTCGGATCCGAGAGGTACTACAGTTGGTATCAGAGCACTCCAGGTTCAAGTGTCTCTAGGATGTTTTCGTATTAAGTCTTCCGCGTAGCGTTTTCTCTTGAATAGAGCTTAAGTTAGGATTCATTGTATTCCTTTTGGTTCGTATAGAAAGGGTACCGACATCTGTCTATTCGTGTTAACAGATGGTTAACGCTAGAAATGGACAGAACATGCAAGGAACTAGGAAGGAAAGGAGAACGGCACGTAGGCAACAATATCTCCTACGGCGTCAACAAATGGAGGAAGAGTAGCAAAGGCTTGGGTTTCAAGATGACATGGATCAGTTTCAGGAGGAACAGGAGAATGTTCAACAGACTCTAGACCAGGTCAGAGATCCAGAGATTCCTCCTCACCTCAATGACCTCGTTGCTCGGGCTATAGAGGCTGGGGTAACAGCTGCACTTCGGAATCAGCCTCAGGTACAGCCGGCACCTGTACCAACACCAGTGGTTCAGACGGATTTTTGGGGAGAGGCTAGAAGCTCTTTCACAAAGGGCAGTCCACCTGTGTTCTCAGGCTCAACCGATGCGAGAGCAGCTCACCAGTGGAAACAGGACATTAAGCGTCATCTTCGTTTGGTTCAGTGCACGGAGGTTCAGAAGCAGATGCTTGCTACTTTCAAGCTAGTTGGGGATGCACTACAGTGGTGGGAGTCAGTTACCACCTCAGAGGAGAGGATGACATTGTCTTATG